GAAAAAATTTACTTTTTAGCAATTTTAACTGCAATTGACACTACAAAATGAGAATTCAAATAAAGCTTCGACAGATGATGGAACAACTAAAAGTTATATTAATAACCAATTACATATAGTAAATGTGCTTAAATCAAAATTTAATTGAAATTAGAACAGTCAAATCATTTTAGTTTCAAGTTCGCAGTCAAGTTATTATTAAATTACATTTTGACAAATATCTCAACTTTGTAAAATGACAAAGGAAATTTAAAGAATGACATATGAGTCACATAATTTTTTTAATATTTTTATGACTAACAACAGGCAAAAGAAATGGTTTATAACTCGTACCTCAAAATATCACATATTCTGGGATTAGACAAAAGTGTCTTGTAATTGTGTATAGGTAGAGTATGGTTTTATTAATATTTTTGAAGATAACTGATCAAAGTTATCACGTATCATGCTATTATAATTCACTTAGAATAAAAAAAGGTAACTTGCAATATCACAATCGTTTATCTAATTAATTTGAACAATTAAACCTTGGACCTCTATTTATCCGTTCGTTATAGTGTCGAGGACGTGTTGTTAATGCTTTGCACATTTTTAATTTGTTTTTCGCTCGTGCTTATTTCTTGAGTTTGTTGTTATTTTTATTATAATTTTTTTGGAATAGGAATAGCACATGCTAATACTATCAATGAAAAGCCTGAGCTTTTGGGCTATTTTGTTTGTTATTTACGAGTGCGTTGCGCTTTCTAGTTTAGTAAGAATTGGATTTTATTTAATTGGTATATCGTTCGTAATGTTATTTGAATTCAGAATTTTAATTCTTCATCTAAGAAACTCATCGAAACTCTTGTAAGTTTAATTCTTTGTCCCAACGCTGACAGTCATTCAGAAACATGTACATGTAATGGAGATAACATTCGTGTCACATGCTTTGGATTTCTCAAATGTATAGTACCCACAGTAGTATCGCCCGATGCAAAATTAAAAATTTAGATCATTTTCCGATTTATTTGATTTACATCGATTTATACATCAAATAAAAAATAAAATTTATTTAATGTTTAATTTGACTCCAATACTGCGTTAATTCTTCGTGGCATTGATGCAGTAAACCGTTCTAAAATGGTCACATCCACTCCATCTTCAGTGCAATCTTAAGTTCGTCCACAGTCGTCAGAAAGTTATCATTTTTTTGAATGTAGTCCTTTAATATCTTTCAAATGTTCTCTATTGGATTCAGGTCTGGGGAATTCGCCGGCAAATTAATAATCACGATTTTATTTTCCCTTGATTTTTCCCGCTGTATGTATCGGCGCATTGTCATGTTGAAAGATTGCGTAACTTCCAGTTAATTCGCTAATTGCGTTCTGGAATAGAAGTGATTGAGTTTTTAAGATTTCGAGGTAAGTAATTTGCAGTTATTTTTTCGCCATTTTTTATATTCATCACAAAAAATTAATGGTCCTTCGTCCTTCCGCGAAATATCCCCAAACCATTACAGATTTTCATCCACTTTTTAAAGGTAGACGCTAAACAATTATTAACGTTAAACTTTTCTCCAGGATGCCGCCAAACTCTTGGCTGCCGTGAGTGCTTCCAAATTTTTATACCGGTTTCATCAGATAAATTATTTTCGACTAATCATAAGCTGATTTATTTTTATTGTCTTCACACCATTTAATATGAGCATATGTATGTGTTTCCGAGATATAAAGTTTCTTTGCTGCGATACGTGAGTTAAGTCCGGAGTTGCGCAATACATTTGCGACGGTTGATAAACTAGTGAGGCCTAAATTATTGACTATTTCGCGTAGTGATCATGTCGTTTTTCGCTAGCTTCACGTATAAGTAAATCCTTTTCGTGATTATCTAAGGTTGGTGATCTTCCTGAACGTGGTAAGTTTTCACTTTTCTGGTTCGTTTATATTTGTTTAGAAAGCGGCGTAGGATCGCGTCCGAGTATTTTTGCGATTTGAGCGGCATTTGTGGTGTCCATGTATGCCAAAATCTTCCCCTTTTTCAATTTAGTCAAGCTGCGTATAGGTGGACACCATTTTTTAACCTAATGAAATTATAGTGTTGACGAAGTGGCAAAAGATAAATAAAGTGATGCTTTATCAAAAAAGGGATAAATGTATTTTTAAAAAATGGTACACTCGGGCGATACTTTCTGTGGGTACTACATGTATGATATGTTTTCACATGAAATCAAACGGTAAAGAGTTTAAAAAGAATACGTAAACGGTGATTTTTAAGTCATGTATTGGACTATACATGTATCATAAATCAATGTAATCCTTAAATACTTAGAACATATAAATCGCTATGTTATAAATTTGACCTCGATACAGTCACAACCTCTTAACATCACACTTATTGTTATACACATACATGTATTAAATTGCTTACGTTATAAATATATGAAGTTAGTACATGTACAATTATTAGGTGAATAGGAAAAAGATTTTTTCTTCAATGAAAACAATGCTAGCTTATCCAGTTATTTGGTACACATTTTTGCTAAAGTGAACTTAGTGCATTACCGGATAATATGGTAATTCGGTCCTTAAAAATGTCAATATTGATCAATCGGCCAACAATCTTATTGATAAACTAGATATGGCTTTTTTTCATAAAATTTAATACAAGAGATTTGAGCAAGCTCTCTATAAGAACCGGATTTTCTGACCCGACTGTGTCCTTATGAAGAGGTGCGACTGTATATAACAAATACAATAATTTTTACCGGAAACCTAGTGCCGTTATATAAAATTGCTTTTAGAGGACTCATTGTGACGCTATCATTCATTCTTTTCAAACTTTATGCGGATAAATAACATTATTTTGTGTTCTCATAAAATTTGGTCTTTATCAAATAAAAACGCTTCTTATGATTCATGTTATAGATTTTATTTGTTATTGCTATTATTATTATTATTATTATTATTATTATTATTATTATTATTATTATTATCATTAGTATTATTATATTACTACTACTACTACTACTACTACTACTACTATTATTATTATTATTACACAGTGCCTTTGGACAATTTTATGTAATAGAAATTTTATAATATTCATAATAATAACATCAAATTGTATATAATAGCTTGTAGAAAGTTGAAAAGTAGAGATTTATTAATCGAAACATCAAATATTAGATTCTATACAAAGATTTTAATTTATTACAACAAAATTATACAAAGACGTTCTTATCGTACTGTATTTAATAAATAACAAATAGAAGAATAATCAGAAAATCAGAAATTCGAATTATTATATTACCTACAATATGGTGTGTTTTAGCTGTAGTAAAACGAAAGCAAGTAATTATAGCTCGGTAGATTTTTGGCACAATTTTTTATTATGGATTGTTTATCTTGGTCTCGCCTGTTACTTTGTCGTATTAGTGTCTAATTTGTCCGAAGATCATCCTGTGCTGGTTACTATTGAGAATAACGAAGAAGCTATTAAGCCTCCTAGTAAAATAAATTATCATTTTCTATATAACCATTCATTTATATTCTTTACTAAATGTTATTCATACAATAGATATCCTCTTTCAAGCTCAATTCGATTATGTTATTCAATGCAATTTCAAAAGATTTGGTAAGTATGATAAATAATTATTCAGTTATAATACAATATTCTCACTTTCATTATCTATAATGTTATTAGATAACCAGCAAATCAACAATACCAATTATGATTGTAGCAATAATTATTTAATAAGAGCCGATTATAATATATGGGCCTTTCGACCAATTAATAACACGGTATCGTTTTCTGCAAACGACACAAAGTTTATCGAATTCTTTTTCTATATAGCCAATTCTTCGCAGCAACTTAATTACACTTCTGTTGTGACCGTATCTCTTTTTGATTATGGTATTTAATATACTTAGACTAATATAATGATTAAATAAACTATGAATTAATTGATTTCTTATGAATTATTTTTTAGCAATTGATGTAACTACAAACAATGCATTGAAAGCTCAAACGGCGAATTTGAATTCTTACTACCTTTCACCAGTTCAAGTAAGTAAAGCTAATGAATTTTTATGTTTCAATATTCTTCGTTGATAAACTCTTTATCAATCATTATTTTATATAGAATAATTACATTGGTTTTCAAAGATATAAGAATGAAAGCCTTGTTCCTGGTGCTAGAAATATTCTTGGTACTCCTCCTCCAGAAGTGGATGATGCTTATTATATTCAAACGACATTCCGTAAGTCTGTTTATGATTTAATATCGATATTTGATAATTACCTCATAATTTAATTACGTACGCGTATCTGTATAGAAACCGGCAATGCGCCCATAGATAATTTACCTTACTATATGTATTTGAATATAAGGTTACTAACTCACGAAGTACCGATTCTCAAACAACAAAGGTATTTTTATTAAAACATCTCCATTGTATTGAAAGTCTGAATTATCCTTGATTCATGTAATGTTATTTATTTGTTTTAATTTTAATTTTAAAGAAACAGAATGGTAAGCCTAATTTTTTAAATTATAATGAGTTGATTAATTTTTCGTAGATTAAACTTGTTTTCTCTTTATAAGTTTTTAGGAGTAGTTAGCGACGTCGGTGGTGCTTATACTTTTTTTGTGGGTGTGCTTCTTCTTCTCCTTGGTACGTTGACTTAATTGGTTTATACGTATAATCTTTATCCCCATCATTTAATTTGTATGATAATCTTCAAAAAAATTCAATTATAGGTCAGAGACCAATCAATCCATGGGGTACGTTTACGTGTCAAAAAATATGTCCGTGTGTTAAAAACAAAGTTCAAAGCAAGCTTGTCGAGAAATATGATAAAATTTTTCGTGAGAAAAACGGAAGAGACGCAAATCCAAGTGTCGAGCTTACTATGGTTGAACTTGACAATCGTTTGAAACAAATGGAGAAATTTTTAAGCAAGTATGTTATCAATGTTGATTACCTTGGCGATGCGCGTAAAAATCACACATCTGATCCTCAGAGAAATGCACCATCTCAATAAACAAAATATACGTAAACTCAAAAATTTTGTACTCGGCATATATACATGTACTTTTTTAATAAATTACAATATACATATTCTCATTGAGTAAACAGTGCTTTTATGCTTGATATTTGCTGTACATGTATTAATTAATTGTAACATCTAAGCGACTCAGAGCAGTAATACTTCTATATCAACAAAATATACTCATATTCAGACGGAATAGGGATGTAGATGGGCGGGAGATGAACATGAACGGGACGATTTTAATAGAATTTATTAGAATGGTTAATTATTAATTACAATATGAATGACTTTTTGGAACAAACTGGAAACCTAAATCCTGTTGAACCATGCACAACACTGTTTATACATGTACATATGTAACGTACACCGGCCTGACAAAAGTATCTGATAAGATCATTTGAAAACGATCGATAATGATTAACGCGATTTATGGCACAACCAACGATTCATCAAATTCTAAGCTTTCAGAAAATATCTTTTTCATAAAAATTGACTCCACTAGAAGATTCTGCAATTCTCATTTGAATTAAATCGATCAATTTTGTGTTATTAAAATCAAATGATATTTTTGACAGAATTTACATATCAATTTCAATCAGAAAAACCTTCTCTATTTAATGGTATATTTATATTTTCTAGATTATTTTTCATTAATGAGCTATAAATCAATTTGTTCATGTATATGTTTTACATGATTATTTGATATTTCAGATCTATCAGAATATGGTGTTGAAGTGGTTTGATCTTGAATTATTGCGTTTTTATTACAACATCAATTATGAATTTAGGTGTCTTAATATTTACTGATTCACTTATTGTATTTTGTCTTCCCATAGACCAACAATTTCCACGTTCAAAATCTGTAAGTTCCGATCTTTTAAACATATTCAAAAATGATTCTTTTAAAAAATATTTTCTGAAAGTAGAAATAAAGATGTATCTAATAAAAAAAGATCAAAGATGATTGCATAAAGCACCCACCCTGTTTTGATTAAATCTCGCAAATAATTGATCGGCGGATACTCCGAAAAATTATGCATAGGTGTGCTACAATCAATGTTAAAGTCAGTTTTTTGTCAGGATATAGCTAATTAAAATATGTGCTGTATAATCTTCGTTCATAATATTTAAACGCTTAAATTTGTATAAATTTTTTATAAATTACAATAAAGAGCTTTTTACCAATCGATATTTATGGTTTACGTAAAATGATTATATGTACATGTATATGTATGTGTATGCATCACAATGATGAATGTTTTATCGTTATTTTAAATTGCCTAATTTGTAGTCATCTCCATTTTTCTATTGCACTTATAACCGAAAACTAGCCGTAAATCTAGAAATCAGCCAAAATTTAATTTTTTGATTTTCGTAGAACGTGAAATTTATGCAAAGATATCTTGATTCTTCACGGAATGTTTCAGTTATTAGCCTCCGGATAGCTGTTCTATGAAATTCATTTTTAGAATTCTAAGAAAGATAACAGGTAATATAAACATTTATTACACGCAGAAATTCTATTTTGATTCTATGCATAATCAACCACTTTTATTTAAATATATGATTATATCCGCCCTCGGATTGTTCTGTAGAGCACAATTTTTTTAGATAATGGGTTGAGTTGTACATTGAGATATAAAGTTTGAATAATAGATGCTAAAAAAACTTATTGCTTACACAAGATCCTATCCTATTTCGAATTATAGAAAGAATGAATAAGGAAAAATGATTCTAATTTTCTCCACATTCCCTTTTTTCTTTTTCTTCATTTTTAATACAAAATTGCCAAATTAAATTTTTCGGCCCGGTTCATAATGACGCAATTGCTTCTCTTGGAATTGAACATTGCCGAGAATATTGTTTATTGGCTGGAAAGATAAAAAGAGATACCTATAAATATAGCTGTTTGAGATGAGTCTTTCTTCATTAATCAAAAAAATCTTCTAATACAAATAATTTACTATAATAATAAACAACATAAAATAAAACATGTCTCCAAATTCTCAAACCTTTATAATCTTCATCGTACTCATCTTCTCTTTAGCATTCTCATCAACAAATGCATCTCCTCACCAAAAACGTGGTGTATCTTTTTCGCATTTTGTTCCGAACGCAGTTAAAGGATTAACGGTTGATGGATTTGTCACGTATACTGGTTTAGCGAATGGTCTTACGCGAATAACTGGCCAATTAAACAAGGGTTTTGATCAAAGCTCCAATCCGTCGGACTATCAATTCAAAGTGGGTGATTATCGATTTGACAACTCTCTTAATTATACAATTAAAAATGGTGGTACCTCGGCTTTCACCACCGATGTTCCCACCACAGACGTTGGTAGTCTTGAGAACAAACGTGCTACCATTAATTTTAAAAATCAAGTTATTGGCGATGCACCCGTTAATACAATTTGATTAATTGTTATTATATTATGGAAAATGCAGTTTAAAAAATAGATAAATTTTTTTGTATTTATTAGTTGTACCTATTTATAGTATAAGCTTGAATTTAATCATTAATTGTTTTATGTAATAATATAATTTTATTATTAAACTTGCATTTGATTAAAATTAAAGTTGTGATTATAGAGGGGTTTGAATGTACCGGTGATTTTTTATTAAAATTCCAGTAAATATGTCAAGAATTTTGTGTAAAGTCCGTACGGAAAAATGCGGTTAGTTTTTTTTAGGTAGGGCACCACACTCTAAAAAACTCAACACGTGTTAATACAGGTTTGAATGCAATTTGATATGCTGAAAAATCATAAGAACAAAGTTAATATTTACATGCGATAAATTAATATACATGTAGATATGATTGATTAAAATGGAACTATCACTAAGAATTTTAACGTGATTTCAATTAGCTAGAGATATATTCGAGAGAGGTTCATATGAATGTCATGTATTTTTCCATACGATTCTTTTTTAAAAGTAGGCGTAAAACTTATTCCGTCATCATTTCCTCAAACTGCAATGATATACACTATAAACAGTTATTCGTTTATTTCAAATCAAGAGAGATTTTGGTTATTGGAAAATCTAAAAACTGTCAAAAGTAAATTACAGTGGCTCTGTGAAACCCCTGCAACAATCTGGTTTATATGATACAGTGTGTAACAAAAGTCTTTGAACAAAATCATTTGATCATTGCGCCACAATGGCTGAGTCAAACCAGCTGATTAATGGCTCATTTGAAAGCCAAAAAGCACGAGATTTATTTAGTATGGGATACGTTCATTTTTTTCGATAATAAGCTCACAGCGTCTTTTCGTAGACCTTATTAATTTATTGAGAACCGGTTGGGGAATTTCTTTCCATTACTCCTTCATAAATTGCTCCAATTGCCGAAAATTTTTTGGCTGTCGTATCTCTACATTTCTCTTACCGATATTCCATAGGTTTTCAATAGGGTTTAGGTCGGGACTGTTGGAGGGCCAATTCATCACTATAGGGAAGTTCTCTCGGAGGAATTTTTCCGCAATTTTGCTGGTATGCTTCGGATCATTGTCTTGTTGGAACCGCAATTCCTCTTGAACATTCTCTTAATCTCAGGAATATGTTTTTGAACAAAATCCACCCCATGCATTAATTTTTGATCGGTCTTTTGGAATCCGACGAACTGGTCGCTCACCCTTATACCAAACTTGTACAGTATTTCGGAATAGGCGGAATGATGTTTCATCGGAAAATAAGGTACGATGCCATTTGTCATTGAGGTGTTCTTGGGCCCATTCTACGCTTTTTCGTTTGTGTGCTTCTGTAAGCATTGGTGTTGCCATAGGGAGCTGTTTTTTGAAATTATGCCGGGGGGGGGAAATAGAGTAAAATGATTCTCGTAACACTAAATTTTAATTTTTTTTTGTTTAACCTGGTTTAGACTGAAATTGGGTAAGTTACACGGATTTAATTTTGATCGACAGTAGTCCACTGTAGGTTAAAATTTTCATATCGATATATTAACAATTGATAAAGAAAATATACAAAAATAATTATAAATTACAATTATGCTATATGTCATAAAAATTGAGGCAATTAATGGTTCCGTTTCATCTTCTGCTCGTCTTTTTTAGTCACAAGATCCTCAAAATCGCCAACATCAACAACAAAGTCTCGAAATAAAAGCTCCATAGCGCAAGATCTTCTTTCCAACAAATTAACGTGGTTTATCAATTTTTTAAGGAGATCAGCATTAACAACGATTTTATCGGCGTTACCATTATTGGAACTAGCCATATTATCTGCATGATTTCTTACAATATCGCTAGATTCATGGAACTCTGTCTCGATTAATGGTAAAGCGTCAATTTCTTCGAAATTCTCTCGTAATTTTCTCTTCATTTCTCCTCTGATGTAAGGTAATTCTTGGGACCACCCGAAGGGAGTAATTTGATTCGCGCCTTTTAATTGAGCATTTGATAAGTTTTCACAAGAAAATTTGATATAGTTACTTTACATGTATATAAATATATACTCACCAAAGCAAAACACATAGATTGCTATTCCTAAACTAAATGCGCCACCAAGAGAGCTTAGTAATCCCAGAACTGTTTTGTCTCTACATAAGTTTAAAGCAGGAACTTATAAGAACAACGATCAACAAGAAGCAAATATTTATGACATAAGAAATTTACTTAGTCTCCCCGTTTACTGTTAACTCTCGTGTCTGATAATAGAATTCAATCGTCGCATACTGATCAAACTCAGTTGCATTATCTGGGCTAACAACATCTAGTATATTCAAAAAAATTTAATGTGATCGTCACAAATTTTCAAAAAGCAACTAGCTAAAAAATCACTCTCATAAATACCCATATAGGATGAGATAACATAATAGTCGTTCGTTACTTGGGCGATACCAGCTAGATTACGAGCCCTATTGCTATTAAGATCCTTGTTTAATGATCTTGTGAACCACACGATATGTTTCTGTATAATTTTTGAGCCATTATATATTTAGAGTTCAGTTCTTTCAATACTAGTTAATAGTTTGTATTTAAATACCTGACCCGGCGAAACAAAATGCAAATTTTGTAGTTTAGCCTCTTCTTCAACCACATCTTTTGAATTAGGATCTTCTTGAGAGAAGTTCGTTTTGTAAAATTCTTTAAAATCAAATAATATACTTTAAATTCTAGTAAAAAAACGCGAGTGAAAACAAATTAAATAAATCATTTACCTGGATCCACAACTTTAACCCACATATTGGTATTCCAAATAGAATTCGTTTGATTGTTCAAAGCATTGCTAGAATCCTTGTCTCGAAACACCTCTACTATTAATCCAAACACCCCATTAGGTCCCAATTGTATTTCAGCATTCGAATTATTCGAAAGTTTAGATGGATTCCACGAGCCATGTTTTGATGGTATTATTGTACTCAAATTATTAGGATCACTGTAAAGAACATCATCAAAGTATTCTTGGCACGAGTTATTTCCTTTTGCTATTTGAAGATCTTATAAATGAAAAATGTGCAAAGTTATAAATAAGACATAAAAAATTTATCACTAAAATTTAATTAAATTTCAAATAAGTACCTAGTCCAATAAAATTGCAATTTAACGAAAAGTCAAATGGAGCAGAAAAATTCAAAACTAGAAAAACGAACAAAACAATGAATTTGAATACTAATCAACAAAAGATATAATAACGATAATATGATAAATAATTACATGGCGCGGGTATTGTTTTCAAAGGATTTTTATATATCTCAAGATGTGGATTCTCGTCTTTAATACCAAATGATAACGCCACCACGTAGAAAATGCAAACAGCATATATCATAAGCATAAAGAAGAATTTGAATAAATAGAAGTTATTGGATTCAGTTTTGGGTCTGTATGGAACAATCTGGATAATTCTGTATAAGATTCGTCTAAATTTATTTTTAGTTTTTTCGACTGTACGATTTTTTTCTGGGTCTTTAGTTTCTTGAGGAACTACAATAATTTGGTCCATTTTATTATTATTATTTAGTTTGGTCTAAATGAAATTTATTATTAAAAGGATTTTCTTATGAGTTTGAATTTTCGCTTCTTTTTATATTTTAATAGAAATGTAATGTTTAGGAAAATGCGGAAATTTGATATACTGCCAGGCAAGGTATAAAATAATAAACGTTTATTGCCATACTCGGAAATTTTCTAAAGAATTGTAGATGTACATGTAAATGCATTTTTTTGTGATAGCCGGATGTATTTGCTTTCTGTGTCTTCCTTCAAAGAATGCAAGTTGCGGTGATTTCGGACACATCTATAATTCGATTTATAATCAATTCAATAAAATTAACATAATTGAGATGAACAAAGATAAAAGCTTTTTGTACCATCCATCAAAGTATCACAATACAAAAATTCCTTTATGCAAAACAAAAATATGCATGTACATGTACGTGTAATTTGCTAAACTAATTGAACTAATGGAGATTTATACAGTTATATCCGGAGCCCTCGCCATAATCTAACCTTCTATGTATAAAACTTATAAAATTATCTCTGGATAAAGCACATTTTTTCGATGATTATAGGTAGTATAATTACTGTATGTTAATCTTCTTAGTATTGTTAATAATCTGATATTTCATAATGTTAACCGCGCGAAAACAAATATACTTATATTTATTCACGCTCTACATGATGTTGCTCGTCGAAAACTAATGTTTTGACGTACTTCAAAAGCAAAGTCGCGTTTGACGTTTTGATTAATTTACGAAAGGTTTCGGCAATGTCAATAATTTTATGAATCATACGAAGCTTGTAACATCTTTACGATCTTAATAATAAGAAGAAGAAGAAGAAAATTAATAAGGAATGAATGTAGGACTAAGTGATAGTATTAGTAAACAATGTTTCGTATTGGTAATTAACGAAAGAGAAAAAGCTAAAACGAACAAACGAAATAGGAAAAGAAAAATACACGCCACAGTTGTCAACTATTATGGACTATGTCTATTAAATATACATCTATTCATTACTGAGTTTAACATTAGACAATAAGCAAATCTTTGTTTTCTATTAACATTAACATTATAATCGAGAAATTGCATTAATATTTTGAACTAGAGTTGGATATTAAATCAAAACGAACATAGATAAAGCCTTCCTGTTGCAGAACCATTATTTTTTTATTAATAATCTGTTTTGAACTGGATCCTTTTAAATTTATCGATGTCATATTACATAACAATTCTTTATTTCTTTATTATGGTTACTGAAATCGATAAGAGTACTATCAGCCTTTTGTAGATTTTACACGGTCAATAGGTATGATATGCAAGGTCGATTAATACATGTAGATGAGTTGGTTAAGATTATTATTAATATTTTCACGTCTTCGATTGGTTAAATTTGGACGAAACAAGGGATGAATTGTAATTTTGTAATTTTTTAATATTATTTAGCCCTGGTTTACCCAAGTGAACCTACACTGTTCGACCAGTATAGCAAAAATAATCCAATATTTTTGTAAATGTATTGTTCAAACAATCTTTCCTTGAATAAAATTCATTAATAGCTCGATAATATAAGATTTTTTGAAATTTAGTACATATCAGCTATATATGTAATAGGATATCATATAACTAAAAGAAATTTTGCTATTCTTAAGAAGTTTAATAAAATAAATGATTTCTAAATATAATAGAAATCCAAGAAGATAATGTCAAAATATGCTAACAGCTCAGACTATAACCAGAGCTTCTTTTCAGTGACATTATAATTCTTTTTAGGTGATTAGAGTGAAATGCTTGTATATGTAACTATATATTCTCTTTTCTTTATTATCCTTTTGGAATAATAATGTATCAAGTCCTGAGTCAGGCGCATCTGAATAAAGATAAAACTTCTTTATAAATCAGATTAAATTAAGATCAAAACAGAGATAAGTTTTTCTTTCAAAGTTTAAAGTGTTTTTCTTGATTCATGATTCAGATATAAATAATATTATTCTCTAGAAGTTTGAATAAGAAAGCTGTTACATAAGAAAATTCTTTAACAAATTTCTTACAATATCCTGCTAATCCTAAGAATAATCTATGCTTTTTCATATTTGTTAGAGTTGAGAATTATTGAATTTATCATATTGTTAAAATATCAGATAAGATTTCATCTTTAATAATTATATATTCAAGAAAAGATAAATTTTCACAACTAAAATTGCATTTTTTTAAATTGAGTTTTAATTCAGTTTCTCTAATTTGTTAAATATATTTTTTAATATATATATATTTTTTCTGTAAATTACATTAAAACTGATATAAATCTCTTAATATAAATATAATATATCAAAGATTTTTATTTATAAAATATCTATTAAAATTGTATATTATATTAAGATTCAGCATAAATCAGATTATTATAGAGAAGTTTACTTATATTTAATAAAAATTATATTATGTTTTTTAAAAATTTGCCAAACTAATATAATTATATTTTTATCTTATTTATATTTTACAAGTCAAAGATAATTACTTTATTAATTCTTTCAGATTTGATAAAAAGTTTATTAATTTTTCAACTGTTAATCTTCTCTAAATACTTTTGTCAAACTCATGTATATTATTTATTATCAGGGATAATCATCTTGAATTATAATCATTTGAATTTTGGATCATTTACAAATAACTGATCAAATAATATAAGTTATTTGAATTATTATACTTTTGCTATAACAATATTAAAATCAAGTAATGCTCAAAAAAAACTTTAAATTATGCGCAGTTTTCAATTTGGCATGCCTATTACTAGTGTATAATGAAGAATGTAAAGAGAATTATTAGTATTATTCTTTAATACTCGAAGCATGTCCTGCAAAAAGTATTACAAAAATTCTCTTTGTAGCATTAGTATAAATATCACTTCAAAAAGTTCTTACCTTGTGATATCAATTCAGTACTGCTTTCTCAATAAATGATAACATAAAATTATTATTTTACAACTTCAAGGAATATTATTATTAAACATTTATATTATATGCTATTTCTTTAATCAATAGAAACATTCATCATAAAATTTATATATTATAGTTAGACTTCATTTTACCTTTATTATTACATTTATTCCTTTGCAATGAAGCATAGCCAGACCTCTTTTTATGAGAATTCTTAAATAATTCATAGTCGGACTTCAGATCCTATGAAACTGCGCATCAAATTATTGAGACTTAAGCAATAGGCAGTTTTGAATAAAAATAAATATTAAATTCACTTTTACCTAACTGCACTTTGGTTCTGATTTCTTCTTTTGATTAGTTCGTTGGTCGCGTCAATAAGTCCAATTGTTTGTTTAGTGTTGGTACTGAGCAGAAACTACCCATATTCTTTTGGAATTTGTGAACCTGTTTAGTTTTGTTCCGAATGCCCTTTGAATACACAATCTCCGTGTAGATTGGCGCATGAGACCTTTGTAATACCTCACTCTATGCAAATCATTCAGTCTAGCTCTCGTTTATTCTGAATTGAGCATAACAATACCTGTACATGTAGAACTTATTTTGAAGCTGAATATTTTTTTATTATCGCCCTTAATAATTCTATCTACTCTAGGCGTCATCACATATGCATCTTCTCCTACACAGCCCCACAGGAGATCTTTAGAATATCTGAAGATACTACCGTAAAGCGCTCTGTATATTATTCCTCCCCTGTAAAAAAATTTAAAAAATTTATACCTTAATTTAACATCAAAGCTTGTAAATTATTAACTAAGGTTTTTAAGAAATTACACTGTGAATTTAGATTTATTTATTTGCGAAACAAATATTCATTTTTATTAAAAAAAAGATGGATTAAATTAAATTTGAATTTTTTAAATTTTTTACAAGGAGGGTACTACTATACAGAACGTTTACGGTGACTTTTCAAAATTATTAGAAAAGAAGGGCGTGATGATCAAAATGTAGAGTAAGCCGGAATAATTTACAAAGAGAAACGTATCAGCATGTTGCAGCAGCGGAATCATATATCCATCATTTCTCGTATGTTGCTTCTGAATACCGGTGTCCCAGTTACTTTTTAACGCTGATCTCTATCACTATTTAAGTATTTAGCTTGATTCTTAGTTACATTAATATTATAAGCTACGACGACATATTAGAGTAGTCCTAATCTATGCTTTAGAAACTCTGATTAATTGGTGTAACGCTTTTAACGCAATGTTTTAATTTTTTTAATACCTTTTCCGTTATAGAGATCATTTATACATAAATGGTTTTACGTGTATCTCTACATTACACGATACCGACCACGTAAAGATAATAGAAATTAGACAAAAATCATTTATCTTCTTCATGAAAAACCATATGAAGTTTGATAGCGGTTAAGATCAAAAATGTACGCGTAAACACATGCAGTTGAAACAACTTTTATTATAAATCAGCTAAAGTTAATATCTAAATCTACAGTTTCTTGCAAGTTACCCAGGCATATCCTCATTTTCTTTGATTTCGTGTGGCATACTAGAAGACAAAAGTCAATAAGAAATTTTAATATCACTAGAACCAAGGTATATATAATGCCTGCGAGCTACATGCACAAACGAATATTACCCTCTCTACTATATATGATAATATCAAAAAGCTAGAGAAAACAGGAACTACAAGCCACGTTAAGGATAATAGGTGACCAAAGAAAATTACTGCAGCTAATTCTGGAGAGATTGATAGGATTGTTCTCAAGGATCCTATTGTATCAATCCAGACTTTAAGGACAAAACTAGCAAATATAGATGTAGAAGTATCCCATATGTACAGTTAGCAGACATTTAAATAGTGAAAGGATATAAAAAAAGCGTTTCTCTAAAGACTCCCATACTTACCACCAAATACAAAAAAATACACATTAAATGGATCAAATGCTTATCTTAATGACAATTGAAATTAGACTTTTTTTACAGATGAGATGGTCTTCTAACTCTTCTGGAACATGCTGGGATGCTGACATAAAGGTTCGCAGCCAGTTCATC